TAAATTCTTCATTACAGACTGCTGCAGAGGAGCTTTGGAGAAGCACAGACTGCTACATTGAGGAAAGGAAGCAAATGAGTTTCATGAAAATGAAAGAAGTTCTGCACCTTTTTGTCTGGATTGAATGCTTTTTATAAGCAAACAAATGACAACAATAAACAATGCAACTCAGTCTCTCCTCATATTCAAAAGAATTGTCAACAGGGCAACATTAGTTCTTCATATATGAGGATGTATAAAATTATTTACCCTTTAATACAATATTGGATGCATTATCTGAGACTGCAAAGTCTTGATTTCATCTAACAAGGTTTTTCTTTTATGGACCGAATAAAAGAATTCAAATTCTTATAGAATCAAAAATAAGCAAAGATCTCAAAGACAGTATGTGGCAAAACCCTAAACTGAAATTTATTTTTCAAAATTACAAACTGAATCAATATTAACATGTACTATCAAGGTCTCTTACAAAACAAAATGATTGCCCTACAATTGCAATGCTTTCCAGCAGTCTTCGCAGTTTTAAATTATAATCTATTGTTAAGCTGCTGTGAATAACAAGTTTTGGCATGACATACTGGTTGTAAAAGGCAGTCAGTAATGTATCTACTTTCTTGAGTTTCACAAATTGTTTCAAAGACAATCAAAAAATCATCAATATGAAGAAAAAATAAATGTCATTACACTGTGGCTTGTTAAAATCAGGATATTTACATAGGACACTTGACCAGTATCCTGTTTATCCTAGGTCTTATGTTTGTATAGATTTCTTGCTCACATTCACACTAATACAGCTCCATAGCCAGAACAACTGCAGGCACAGAAGTACAAGCAAGGTTCCCATGCTCACTAACACTTTTAATTTATTTGTTTCACTGCACTCAAATAATGCGTGTCTGCAGAAAGAAATTTAATAGCTGTTCATGTCCATGGAATTACACTGATTTTAGGAATGCAGATCAACCCTCAAAACAGAGAAAGAATGGAAAGAAAAATACTGAGCTGGCTTAGAGAATCTAAAAGACAGATATGTTCATTTTTTTTTAAATAGAAGTATAATCATTCTTTCTTATCAGCAATCCAAGCCTAAATGAACAAACGAAACCTCTTTAGAGATGTCTTTCCAAAATAGTGCAGGTACGCTGCATAGTTCTCCAGTAGAATGGCCAAGCCGTCTCTCTATATATCATATATTTACATAGATGTGTATATATGTATATAAACATGTACATATGATTTTCAGTGCTCATGCCCTGTAGTAGGGAAAAAAGCTACTTTTTATAGTTTGACTGACATGTGCATTCTGTCTTATCCCAGGAGCCAGAAAAGCATCTTGAGCAGTAAAAACTGATAAACACGTGGCAGGCAGCCAGAAGTTCCACTGACACTGAGCATGGGAACTTGTAGAAGATACAAATATTTGAAGGTGCCTGTTACACAGTGCTGGGTTGGAAACCTAAGCGATTCTCAGAGAATGTATGCAATTACCATTGTAATATATGCTCCATTTAAGAATGATCTAAGCACATTTTTAGCTTAATATTAAAGTTAGTGAAATTTATTCCACATTTGGTGGATTCCCAAGAATGGAGCAATTTTAAGCATGTTTTCATATTTTATACGATAATTCACATAAAATGTGTGCTTACAAATGAAAGAAGCAACATAAAAGTACCATAATCCAAATTTTCACATGTAGTAAATGAATAATAGCTGTTTCCTTCATTGTGCTCTTTTCTCTTGAGAACATTTTAGTTCAACTGTCATATTTATTTTTGTTAATTCAAGCAATATAGCTTGCATTCCCCTTAATTGTTTCTGCTTTAAAAATACAGACATTTCTTGGCAAGCTAATGCTTTTAAAGAGAAGAAGAGGCCTGTTTACAAGTCATTTTAGCTTTCTCCCAATTGATCTGTTCATGTGCCTTTAATTTCTCTCCACACTATCAACAACAAAAACAAAAATTAAAAAAAGGAGCTTTGACTGAAACAAAAGTGAAGCCACAAACACTCATGAACTCAGCTAATAAAGAAGTTAGAATGCTATTTGTTATATTTCAGTGTTATAAAACAGAACAGTAAGTCTAAGGGTAAATATACAGCAATCAGCTGCAAATCTATTTAAGCAAAACAAAACACAAGCTGGCAGATGTTGCCTTAATGACTGAAAAACTTGCTTTGGCTGAACTATTGGCAACAGGCAAAGAGCAGTACTGCTGCAGCTTGCCTGCCTGTTGTTTTACTGAGCTGGTACATGGGAAGGACAGTCTACATTTTTCACACCAGCACTCAATTTTGATATTAATGGCTAATTAGAGGTAAACCACATGAAAACAGTGTCATACACATTGATTCTTTTCTTTTCAAAAGAAAACATGCACAAAATAATTAGGTCATTTGAATTAAGGACACAAGGGGATGAAACAAAACTCAGCACATGAATAAGCATTGATAAATTTATTTCCAGAAACATCGGAGACAAGGCCAAGACTATTTGGAATATATTTCTACATCACTACCAGGTCACTGAATGACCAGAACATTACCTACTTGAGGTCTAGGTGAAAGTAGTACTCAGTGATATATCTGAAATTGTTGGAAAATCAGCTAAATGGAAAGCTAGCTTTTCTTGTAGCCTGTGATAAACGGTTCAAGTCTCCTTCTTCTATTCAGAGCAAATATTACCTTATAGATTAAAAAAAAAAAAAAAAAAAAAAAAAAAAAAAAA